AGTATCAGTGATGTAATTCTGTTACTAGCACAATGTGGAGAATGAAATTTGAAACTTACCACCATATCTCTTCCGCTTCCTAGAAAATATCCGAATCTTAAATTAGAAAGGACATCATATTTTTGTTCTGATGGAAACAATCTCTTCTGACATGTTAAATAAATGCATGAACCTGTTGAAGAGCTAGACAACAATGAGCTATTCATATGCAACCAATGTATTTGGTGAATGTGTCATTTAGAATTACAGCTGAATATACCAGAATTAAATTTTATGTAAGGCCGAGAATAAGAACAGGAAAAGAAGTATTCTGACCAAAGATATGATTGATGGACACAAATGGTTGTTGCTCACATAAGTAAAATAAAATGTCTCATGTTTCTATAACGAATGATAATACCAAGGATGAAAGTGATTCTCAGAAGGGAATGGTTATTGGTAAGACCTAGATCTAATGTTAGTTATGGCATGTCTGTCCAGCTGAAAAAGTCTCCTTGCAAACTGAGAAGGTTCTGCAGTAAATTGCCTTGATTTCTTTTGGGGGTTTTGTTTTTCATTCATTCATTCATTCATTCATTCATTCATTCATTCATTCATTCATACATACATACATACATACATACATACATACATATTATCATCTGGCTGATGCATTATGATCTAGTAGTCAAGTTCTTTAGTCACTGAAAAGAGTTTTAGGTCACATATGACTCATACAAGTCCTCAATCACAGAATGCAATAAGGTTGAAGAGATAGATTCCTGAAGTCCATAGGGTATGTATGTAATGAGATCAAGGGAAGATAAATGATTTGGATGGGTTAGGATGGAACACTTTCTTTTATACTTATGTATTCCAGTATTATTTTTCTTTTTTATTTTCCCATCCTTTAAAGAAAATATCCACCTCAATTTGTATTTTATTCCTTTTGACCATGGAAGTCTGCTACCCCACCAGCATTAAGTTGCCAATATGACTTGGCATCTCCGTTGGTATTCATGAGGTACCACTTTATTTTTATTTAGATTCTTTTAAATAGGAAGCCATCATAATGCTGCAAATTTCACCCCAGTTTCAAGCATAAGCTTTATTTTTTGTATATCTTCCAGATACAGCGTCGGAAAATAAACATCATAGGTAGCTGATACCAAGCGCTATGTTTAACAGGCTATTCTTCTGCTCAGAAAAGAAGAGGAACAGAGGTGACTGTGAATATCTCGGGAGGCTAAAGAATTAATTAAATATCAAATCTTAACAGTTTTGCTCTAGATAAATAGAGGTTTTGTGACTGGCCACACCCATCCTGGCTGCCATTTTGTGAGAATACTTAGAACACACTTTCAAAATTCCACACGTACTCACTGGTTGCAAAAGGTTGAAGGAGTGATTTGGACTGTGACACGAACATTAAAGCATTAAATAATAAATAAAAACAGAGGCTGGATGTGTGTTAAGAGGAACCCAACCCAATCCTCTGCTACTTCTAAAAACTTACACAATTTAGTGTTTTTCAAAGTTGGCAACATCAAGATATGTGGACTTCAACTTCCAGAATTCCTCAGCCATCACGTTGGCTGGGGAATTCTGGGAGTTGAAGTCCACACAACTTGAAATTGCCAAGTTTGAAAAACACTGAGTTAAACTGTGTGCTTCAAAACAAGCAAAACTTTTAATCTTGAGTCCAGATTGGCAGACTAGTACCAAGAACTAGTTTACAGTTTCCAAATGGGCTGTTGCAAGAGCAGAGAGCACAAAGCCGCTGATCCAAACTTGGTGTCCTCCTGATGTGCCAGAACCATGCTGGCTGGGAATTCTAGGATTTGTAATACCAACACCTCTGGAAGATGCCAACACTGAAAAGACTAGCAAAAATACCAAATACCCCCCCCCCTTTTTTTCTGTAACAGTGTTTAGTCCTGCAAAGTCTTTACTGTTGTCCAATATTGCAAACTGATTTAAAATATGCGCTTGTCATGTTTAGAATCGGAAAGAGAAACACATTACATTAATGCATACAAATAAAATAAGAATTTGTATTCCTCTGAAGAGATGTATGGCTAATGGTTAAAATCGGGCGCATTTAAAGATAATATTCAACAATGTTTACCTTAACATATTCACATTTTTTTCCTCATACTTCCCAAGCCTACCCTTTGTATTTATAAAACAAACGATATGCTTTGTCTGTCATAAGCATGTTTAGTGTACTTCTTTCATGCAGTTCATAGATAGGATTGCATTGTGGAGATGATACGCCATGGAGGTTCAGCCTTTTCTTGAATCCTATTTTATTTTGAGAGCTGCTTCATGTGTTAATTTCTGTGCTTGTTGCCACGTTCTTCTGAACAAAGAATGAATGAACACGTAGCACTCTGGACACCCCACTGCTTATAGAAATTGGTAATTTTGGAAGGGGAAAATCATGGCTAGAGGAGCATGTGAACTAATGGAATCCTAAAATTGCTTCTGCCATTATTCAATATTAAGCGGTTTTTAATGTAGAGCAAAGCTTGTAGAAATACTATAGCGATAGGGGATGAAGAAAGAGCCACTGCTGGCAATCCTAGGCAAAATTCCAAGAGGACAGCTTTTAGTGTGATGGAAATACCTCTTAGAGAAGTTTGAAAACAAGTACATATGAAATACAAATCCTGCTAGAATGTGTGAGCAGATGCCCAAAATGATGAGGCAGTGGGCAGATATCAAAACTTCCTGTGAGCCTCTACTGCGGATCAGTTCAGAACTAGAGATCTAGAATTTCCTGATTTTAAGGAACGGCATGGCAAAAGTCCTGGGCCAGCCCAATCTTTTCTTCTTTCTTCTTCCTTGCGTTTTTCCTATTTGCCCAGATGCTAAAGAAACTTAACCCAGCATTAAGCTACGAAAGTAAACTAGCACCCCTCAAAGCCAAAATATATAGCTCAAAAAGTTTCTTACAACATAGTAAGTCTTCCTGTATACAGTATTTTTTCTCTCGCTCTTATTCTTTCTTCTGGAAAAGAAATGACATTCCCGTCCTTGTGTATGTGTATCTCAAACAACATATGTATTGTGACTATGCCATTCTGAATTAACTTTCTCAGATCTTGATTTTTCAAAACAGATATGGTACTAATATTTCAAGAACATAAACTAAATGAATTCACATGTAAATACAATACAGGAACTAATTGAGAAGCTCATTGTGGACATTAAAAAATAAGAAATGCTGGGTGCTGCATGATAGGGAATTCACCTCCTAATCCAGGATCTTCACCGCATCCATACCCAGAGCAAGCAGGCTTGAGAAAAACCTTTTGCCATCTACAGTGGCAGACTAGCAAAACCCAAACCAACCATAACTGCAGAATGCCATGGACTCTGAATCCCAGACTAAAAATCTTTGTATATAGGCCTGGGATGAAAGCTTTATTCAAGTCTAATCACTGCATGTGAGAAAAATGACTCTAAGCATGCTATTTGTGTGGATGTGGTTGTGTGCGTGTTACTTAAAATTTGAGGTTTTAGGACAAAATGTGAAGGGTTTTTTTGGGGGGGAGGTGCTTTCCTTCGAGTCAGTTTTTGACTCCTGGTGACTGCCTGGAGAAGTCCTTGCAGTTTTCCTGGCCTGGTTTTCAGAACCGGTTTGCCCTTGCCTGCTTCCTAGGGCTGAGAGACAGGGACTGGCCCAAGGTCACCCAGCTGGCTTTGAGCCTAAGGCAGGACTAGAACTTGTGGTCTCCCGGTTTCTAGCCTGGAGCCTTGACCACTACACCAAACTAGCATATTACAATAGAATATTTATATGTATCTGTGTGTATGTATGTAGGTAAGATTGTGTTAGAGAGAGATGGAAGGAAGATGCTAGTGGTGGCCTCAGACTTTAGCTCTTTTTGCCTTCTCCTCACCTTTTTCAAGGATACCTGCTCCCCCCTCCTCCAATTTCCTGAATCTTGATCTACTGAACTATGTAGCAACTTCAAGGGAGTAGCTTTCCCCAGTTCAGCCTGGAGGTTACCAGCGATTAAACGTGGGACTGACGTTCCAGACTTGTTCCCCATCATGAGAACCCTTCCTGAAGAATATGTTCGTGCTGCCAGATTTCGGGGAACTAGTCACTTCTGCTGCTAAGAAGCCCTCTCTCCTTTCAAGAAAATGTTAATTCCACCTAAGGACAGATTTCTGTATAGGGTAGGATAACATTTTCCCCCTTGAAGTCTAACCAAATGTTTCTTTTACAATCAGAAAATTTTACTTCAAGGCTCAGGGTTTTACAACTCGTCTCTCATGAGAGGTAAACTGTAATTTGAAATTTGTGAAATTTATAATTGAGGCAATAATCAGTGCCTTGTGAAACCTAAAGTTGCATGGGCAGATGGTGATAATTTATTACATTTATTTGCCACAACTTTTGCATGACGAACTTTCTTCTTCTTCCTCTCAAGAGTTCCTAAACATTTGCCAGCAAGCAGATTTTGCGGACACATAAGAGGCTCAGTGAGGTTAGGAAATTGGTCTGTTGCTGGTTCTGCCAACATAATTCAATAGTCTGATTGGATTTCAATTCTGCAGTGCTGTATGTATGAACAGAGTATGTAACGAATTTTTCTTATCCTTCAGTAAAAGATAGAATCATGCAAATTGCTAGATTCATTTGGAAGATGGAGCTTAGGAAGAATTAAGCCCTGCTCCTGCTTCTGAACAATTCAATTTGTGTTGTGTTTATCCAGAACTTGCATATGGTAGTCCCAGCTGCTAGATGAGGCAAAGTAAGCAATTTCTGATTCAATTACATGTACAGAAACCCTGAAGTTAAATAGAATTCCATATCTGATTCCAAGACCGGCAAAGTGGATAAAACAAATAAACTATGCCAATAACCAGGGGAAAAAACACTGAATGTAAGTTTTTAGATATGAGAGAGAGAGAGAGAGAGAGAGAGAGAGAAGCACAAAATGATTTTGGGTCACATTTCATGTTAGAAAACATTTTTTAATTTATTTAATATCATAATTTCCTACTCTGTATTATATTGTATATTTTCTAAAAAAAAATGCAAACAGATTATTGCATAACATGACTTCCAAATTAGCCCAGAAAGATTTGCTAACTTCAGACACAATATGAAAGGTGTATCAATACTGAACATTAGTCTTCAGGAAAGGCTTACGCCAAAGATTTTTGTGGAAAGCAGCACCCATTTCATTATCTTTCTTTTGTTTTCTTAGACAGAACAACATTGGCAAGGGAAAGACAAGCTGGAGAAATTTTGTGGGTGTGTTTCTGCAGTGTGACTATTTTACCTGTATCTCAGTCTGTGTGAACTACTTTGCATAATTCTAAGGATCTTGTAGGACATAGCTAATACAGAATATTCTAAATATCACCAAGATACAGAAATGTGGCTTTGAACAGCATCTCTATATGTCTACATAGTTTCACTGATGTTGTGGAAAACGGTAATGTATCCATGAAAAAATGATGATAAAAATTAGGAAATATATTATACTCACAATGCAAAATACTGTATTTTAGTTCTGAGACAGTTCAAGCATATACAGCAGATACATAATAAAGCTCAGGGATTTTTTTTAATCATCTAAAAGAAGCAATCATGAAAAGATGAAATTCAGTTCATATCTCAACACCTACTTAGTGCATTCTGCTGTGTTCACTTTTGAAAGACACACATAAGAACAGTGTGTGTAAACACACACACACAACGGTTACGTTATTTGCTGTAATTTACAATATATATATATACATATATATATGCGTGTGTGTGTGTGTTTGAATTTTATAAAAATACAGAAAAGAAAAAGTTAATTCCTTGCACTCAGATACTGAGCATTAACCCTTTGAGTACTTAATTCCCACCTGCAAAGACTGCAGAACACATTCATCTGACACACATTATCATAACATCCCACTAAAAATCATCTGCTTATGTACAGTGTGAGGAAAAAGATTCTTACCTATCATAAATGATGGGATTTAGAATGTGCTGATAATAACACAGATAATGAACTGAGCTCTCTTAAGTTTGTGGGGGGAAAGCCCGTCTACTGTGAAGCAAGGGTTCTTCCCAAGAAACAAATTGTGAAGGTTAATTGCATGTGTGGTAGGTAAGTTTATCAATTGGCTTCTAATGGCCATATAACACTGAGTGTGCTTCAGGGATAACTGCAGGGAGGGGGTCAAAAAAGTCAAGATGGGGCCACAACTATGTGATCAAAGCTGCCCCCCCTTTTCACAACACATGCAAAAAGGGGACAGGGCTTCAAAGGCGTGGTGGCCACCACTAGCTTGACTTTTTTGATCCCTTCCCTGGCTTGTTTGTTTCTTTAAATGTGAAATTATGGCCTATTTTTCATCACAGCTCCCTTTGAGCTGTATGGTTCTATTCACATTATGTCACCAGTTTAAAACTGTACTGTACTTTATTTTAAATTTTAAAGAGCAACTGTAATTCTCTTATTCATGTTTATTGGTGCATTGTGTTCAGATATTCATAGATAGAATTTCCTCCCCCGCTAAAAAAAAACAAAAAACCTTTTTGCCCAAAGTTCATGGACAGAAAATATTGTTGGCCCTAGAGATTACCAGATCTGAACAGAATAAATCAGCGAAAAGCCCTGCTCCCAAGGGTCAAACTTGCATGGAAATATAAAGACAATCCCAATTTTGCTTTGGCAATGGATTGAAAGGTGTGACAAAGAGGGTGGTTTCACCCTAAATACAGAATAATTAAAACATCTGCTCTTAAGTGATATTTTGTTGCAGTGAAGTCCTATATGTATTTCCTTAGCAATAAGGGCCAGGGTGTTTCTTGGACCCATTCTCTGGAAAGAGTGCTTAAAATGGCTGTCAAAGTCACAGAGCTTTTATTAGCTACTCCTGCACCGGACCGGACTGTTATAATGATGATCCTCGCATAACACTGCAGGTAACAGTTCTCCCTCCAATCTGGAAACACAGTCAGGAAACATTCCAATTGAAGTCAAGCCCTTTCAGCGTTTAAAAAATGCAAGCAGGTACATACGTTACGTCTTTCTCACTGAAATTAATGCATTTTCAAAGTGCTTAACTAGGGCTGCCTGTGCGTGCTCTTAAGCGAATAACTGTAGTCCTCAAAGAGTTAATGGAAAAGCTTTACTTCGCCTTGATCAATGGTGATGGGGCTAGTTGCGGATTAATTCCCAAAGGCGAAGGTACCGAAGAGTGAAACTCGCTGAGACAGCTGCTAGAGACATACACAGTGCCACATTCAATGGGGCATGCTTTGCAGAGACATTAGAGTGCACCCTTATCAAAGCAATCATTTAACCTCATACAAAGGATTGTGCCACTTAAAGTAGTGCAGAAGGTATTTTTTTCTTTTTCTTTTTTTCATAGAGTCAAAATGCTCTAGATTAATACCAACATGGATAGTCACAGCCTTTTACAATAGGTGGTTTTTTCTTTGTACATATGTAACATCAGAAAACAACAAATGGCGTTATCCTGACAGATGCCATGCAGAAATTAAAAGATATTATTAATAACAATAATCTTAACGACAACAACAACAAAAAGAAATACAACCAGTACAGCACTGGGGATGTTAACATGGGATTTTACCTAGTGTTTCCTTCCAAAGAGAAAGAAGACAAGAACGGTGACATACACTACATGGTGTTACACGCCATATGCTACAGAAGATCTTTAGAGGCAGTATCACTTTTATAGGTCTAAAAAGCTATGTTAGGCTGGTTATAAAATCCTTTCTCTTTCTGCTGATTTCAAAAATTAATAAAACACCATTTTGTTGCAAAAATAATCAAGGAAAGGCTATGATGCTGATATGTGTAGAAAAGTGTCTGATGCCAATACAGATTAAAAAAAATAAAATAAAAGGAAAACGATACCACGTTATGTCATAGTAACAAAAGCCTCATATTCTGCTTTCTAGGTTTACGTTTTAGTTCTTCCTTGAACCTGTTCTATCATTCTTTTAAAAATAATTTCAAGACTGCTCCTGCTTTTTAAAAGCCTCTTCTTATTCAGAAAAAAATAGGTTGAAAACCTGTACAGTTATCTCATGTGCTACACGAACATGTAGAATCTTACTCAGTTTAGAAGGAAAACAAAGATCAACAGTACAAACCTACTTAGGTCTACTCAGAAGTAAGCCCACTGAATTTAACTGGGCTTACTCCCAAATTGCTGTATATAGGTTTGCAGTCTAAGATGCTCTGAGCTGCAAGAGGAGAAATGTGGCCTACCAACTACACAGTAGTTTCATTCTTCCAAGGCCCTGTTTTGATATTTCCTGTACTATCTGAACTGTAGATCATGGCTTCATGCAAGCTTCCCTTTAGAATTCCATTGTGGCTGGTTGTGCTAAATGGCAAGGAGTGTGTCCGTGGATGCATCTCAAAATGAGCTGCATGAGGGCCTGTCTCAGTTTCTGGGACTTTAGCACAACTATAGATCACAGTACTTGCATCGCTACTTTCAGGCTGACTGATAGTTGGATAGGGACTGTTTTTTGCACAACATGGCCGCCTGTGGCCTGAGTGGCTGTCATGAGTACTATGTGGACTGTCTGTATGTGAACTGTGTATGCTGCCATCAATGCTTGAAGGAATATGGTAAGCATACTCCCTTTCTCCTGCAGATCGATGTCGGCTAAAGTATCGTGGCTTAGTTCTGCTTTTCAAACATCTGTGAATGTGCATGTTGGGTCTGAAAGTCCCTTCGTTGTGTACATGAATGTGACCTTCATCTTCCAGGAGCTGATCACAGTGCATTTTTGCACAACATGGTGTGACCGGTGAAAGGCAGTTGACATGGTTCTGAACAGCCTGTAGATTAGTGAGTTTGCAGTGACTAACAGCCGGGTGATTAAAAACGGCAGATTTCGTTGGGCACGGTGAATCTTGAAGGCATGAGGCATGAGCTTGGCTTTCACCATTGACATTGACTTTTGGACGGACATTCACTTGCACCGAGTATGTGTTTCTTCGAGATGGGCAACAGGACCACCAACAGTGCCACACATCATCTCGCTTTGCACAGTGATGGATGAGGATGAAGAGCCCTAAGGTGACACAAAATGCTCCGTAGAGGCAGCTAAATATCATATCCAAGAAATGTCCTTGAGAAACAGCAAGGGCACCAAAAGTCCATGTGGCAGTAAACAGAAACAAAGTGAATGCAGCAGCTCGAAGCTGAGCCTTGAATGAGTGCTCATTTTCCAACAAGGATGAAGACATCATTGAACAGGTTGCCTGGGAAACTGATCCAATGTCTGTCATGTGACTATGGCCAAGTTCAGGACTTGCCAACCTCTGCTGATCTTCCATCCTTTCCTTTAATTCATATTTGCGTTCTGGGTGACGCCTCAATTGCACATATGTGCAGAAGAAGTAAATGCATGTGATCAGAACAATGAATGCAAGTGGTCCATAAAATGCACCAAGACTTGGCTCCCATGACATCCAACAACTACAAATAAGGGGTAGGGTGAACGATGGAATAGAGTTTAAAAAAAGAAAAGGAATCAAATTAATAATATTGAAGACAAATTACCTGCTAAGGCAAAATAAATAAATAAATTTGCAATAAATTGTAAATTGTTTAGAAGAAGAAATCATCTTTATTGTTTATTATTTACTTATGAAATCAATTTAAAACATGCTCTCTACCCTAATGGGAGCTACGGAGGTATAGTGCAGGTAATTAACCCATATCTATTTTTTATCCATTGCACAGCTTTTACAAATGGCATTTCAAATACTATTTTTGAGAGGATCTCGGCCTGTTGCATAGCTCCCCCAGTGAGCCTCTGTGGCTGAAGTGGATGTGAAACTGGTCTCCCTGTTTCTCCACATCACATTGGCTGTCGTATCATACAGGAAAATAAGTTTTCATTAAAGCTCTCTAGATACCAAATGCAGTACTCTCATGGTTTTGAAACACATCTCATAAAATTACTTTGTGGTGTATTGTCAGATCTAAGCACGCACACAGAAAAAAACTGAATATGTTTAGGGCAGTGTTTCTCAACCTTGGCAACTTTAAGATAGGTGGACTTCAACTCCCAGAATTC